GTAGGGAGACTCTGCCTTGGTGACACGTTGTGTCATGCACTCGAGACTCCTGCTATTGTCAGCGCCAGGCACAGGGGCTTTTGCCCGAGGCCTCCCCGGTGGGCACTGCTGTGGTGGTGCTCCCTGGAGGAGGACGTCCCATGCTCCACAGTGAGGGCACATTCGTGCCTCACATGTGGCTCTGTGTACCTCACATTTCTTTGCTTTGAGTCCCTCTCCCCTCAGACCCAAACACACATACTTAGTCTAACAGTGTGGCTTCAGAGAGTGTTCACTGCCTGTTAAGCTTTCCACCACCTCTGTTGGTAAAAAAGGAGTTTTGCTGCTCCTCTAAATCCCTGTTCTTCCTTTTTCTCTCCTGCTCCTCCTTGCTTAATCTTTTTTTAAAGACAGAGTCTCGCTGTATTGCCCAGGCTGGAGTACAGTGGCACGATCTCAGCTCACTGCAACCATCGCCTTCTGGGTTCAAGAGATTTTACTGCCTCAGCCTCCTGAGTAGCGGGGATTACAAGAGCCCACCATCACACCTGGCTAATTTTTTGTATTTTTTAGTAGAGACAGCATTTCACCATGTTGGCCAGACTGGTCTCGAACTCCTGACTTCAGGTGATCTGCCTGACTCAGCCTCCCAAAGTGCTGGGATTAGAGGCATAAGCCACCCACCTTGCCCGGCCTCCTTGCTTAATCTTTGTTTAATTTTTTTTTTTTTTTTGTCAAAATATTTCCTCTGGGGCTGGGTGTGGTTGTTCACACGTATAAATCCCAGTTACTTGGAGGCTGAGGCAGAAGGATTGCTTGAGGCCAGGAGTTTGAGACCACCCTGGGTGGTGCAGTGAGGCTATGATAAGTAAATAAATAAATGCTTGTTTTTATTTTACATAAATATATATTTTTCCTTTGGGGCCAGACAGACAACTTCATGGGCAGAGGAAGGAAGATGGAGAGCCAGAGAGCTCCAGAGAACAAGTGCGAAAGCTTCAGTTCGGAGGTGGGGACAAGGATGGAGCACGCTCCGCCTGATGCTGGTCATCTCTTGTGCACTGAGCTCAGGCTGGGACAGGCTCCGGGAGAGCGTCCTGCTCTTGGCTTAGAAGGCCGACTGCCTTGCCAAAGTCATCACTCATTAGGACAAGAATCCAACAAATATTTATTTAACATTTAGAGGCACTGGACTCAGATTTAGAGACCATGGGTTCTTGTTTTGATTCCAAGCATTTAACATCCAAGCATTCCAAGCATCCCTCGGGTGATGGCCAAGGCCTCTAGCAGCTCACACCTCCTGGGCTTTCAGGGTCTTTGTGTCCATGAAACATCCACAAAATGTGGCCTATTAATGCCAGATATTTACTGTTTTCAAGGTACAAAAGACAGCTGAAGTTTAAGATGTGCCTGTGACTGGGGAGCAGCCCTTCGCTCGCAGCTGCTCTTTATCTCAACAGAGCGGGCAGTCAGGTAAAAGTAATACAGCTACCAGCGGACTGGAGAGACTCACCCCTGTGAGGGGGTAGGGCTCTCTCGGCCCAACTGAATGAAATCATAAAAGATGTTGATGAGGTGCCTAGTAACAGCTCAAGACAAATTTTCCTTTGGAACTGAAGACTTGACCTTCTGGTGTCTTTATTCTTTTTCTTTTTTTTTTTTCTTTTCTTTTTTTGACGGAGTCTTGCTCTGCTGCCCAAGCTGGAGTGCAGTGGCATCATCATAGCTCACTGCAGCCTTGACCTCCTGGGCTCATGTGATCCTCCTGCCTCAGCCTCCCGAGTATCTGGAACAGGTACACGCCACCAAGCCTGGCTAATTTTTAAGTATTTTTTTAGAGACAGACATCTCTCACTATGTTGCCCGGGCTGGTCTTGAGCTCCGGGACTCAAGTGATCCTCCTCTGGGCTCCCAAAGTGTTAGATTACAGACGTGAACCATTGCACTCAGCCAAACCTTGGTCTGTTTATTCTTGATTTTATTTCCTTTCCTCAGTCTCTCAGATGCCCCTGCTCTCTTCCTACTTCCATATCCACATCCACTTTTAGCAAACTTTGACAAACTCACACTGAGGTATACATAACTGATAAGACTTAATAGATAAAACTTCTCTCTCTCACAGATCTACACTAAATCCAATCACCTGTGATAAATCATACATCTGAGTATTTCTAGCTCCATCAGCATCTGAGGATATTCATAATTTTATGAACAGGATTTCATAAAAATCTTCAGGATCATTCATGGTTTTACTGATAATGCCATTTTTTTTAATCCTCAGCCAGGACAGAAAAGAAATAATGGAAGAAATCCAAATCTTAGCAAAGATGATTGGGAAATGTGAATGTTTTTGTTTGGATGCCTTTTGGTATATTTTGGTATTTTTGTTTTTCCTTCCACTATTGCCACCTTGTCCAAAAAAAAAAAAAAAAAAAAAAAAAAAGGCATTCCGCAAATATGGCAGCCTCTTCTGTCAACCCACAGGGTTAGCCTTGATGGTGAAGTCAAAGGATGGCCTATTTAATGGATTCTTGCTAGCATGAGAACTTTTTTTTTGAGATGGAATTTCACTCTTGTTGCCCAAGCTGGAGTGTAATGGCATGATCTTGGCTCACTGCAACCTCTGCCTTCTGAGTTCATGCAATTCTCCTGCCTCTGCCTCTCAAATAGCTGTGATTATAGGTGCACGCCACCACTCCTGGCTAATTTTTTGTATTTTTAGTAGAGACAGGTTTCACAAAGTTGGCCAGGCTGGTCTTGAACTCCTGACCTGAGGTGATCCACCTGCCTGGGCCTCCCAAAGTGCTGGGATTATAGGCATAAGCCACCATGCCCAGTGGAGAATTTATTAGAATAGCTTTGTGTTAATTTCTGGCTGGGCTTGGTGGCTCATGCCTGTAATCCCAGCACTTTGGGAGACCGAGGAGGGGTTGGATCATGAGGTCAGGAGTTCGAGACCAGCCTGACCAACATGGAGAAACCCTGTTTCTACTAAAAATACAAAAATTAGCCAGGAGTGGTGGCGTGCACCTATAATCACAGCTATTTGGGAGGCAGAGGCAGGAGAATTGCATGAACTCAGAAGGCAGAGGTTGCAGTGAGCCGAGATCATGCCACTGCACTCCAGCCTGGGTGGCAGAGCACACTCTATCTCAAAAAAAAAAAAAAAAAAAAAGATTTCCTCTTGCATTTCTACACACTGGATCCATTCCTAGTATACAGTAGATGTTTAATAAATATTTATTGAATGAATAAACACATGATGCCTTACCATATCATCATGTTGTAAGAGACATGGGAAGATAAATGGGATACTCCCCCTGCTTTTTGAGAGCAGACACCACACACAAAACATGAAATAGCAATATGAGAGACATCCCATGGCCACACCCGAGGATCATTACGCCAAAGCCAGAAATATAAAAATCAAGGGATTGCCTCTTGTAATTTGAAAAAAGTGATTTTGTATAACAAAAGGAAACTATTTTCTTAGTACAGTTAAAAAAGGTAAGGAAATGTGGGACAGATTTTAAAACATGAGCAGATGCTGATGAATCTAGAAATACTCACAGAGGTAAGATTTATCGCAGGTTATTAGATTTATTATAGATCTGTGAGAGATCACACAACCTTCCCAAACACTTGCAGCCCACACAATGGAGACCAATGTCAGGTGCCAAGCAATTCCAGGTTTCTTATGTAATCACGATTGTACATACAGGACGAGGCTTAGCTGAACCAAGAGCGTGTATGCTAAACACCCTCGCTAACCATTGAGTGAAATCGTTCCCTGGGAAAAGAGTGGTAAGAATCCATTATTTTATAGTAAATAGAATAATAAAGACAGGAAAACATCAGACACACACACATTAATTGTAAGCTCAAATGCACAGAAGTTTTTTCTTATTTTTGTGATTGGCAAACTGCATTTAAGACTTTGAAAAGTCAACAGTTCATGATATTTGAAAATGAGTTTGAGGCTTTCTGCATTTAGAAATTCCTCTGTTTGACTTTGAGTCCCTCGTCTGAGAAAAGGTCATTTCTGGCAATAGGATAACGTTCAGGTGCCTCGCCGCCCTGGGACCTCGAAATGCAGAATTTATTTCTGAATTTGGACTAATCTCCCTCAGTGCCTCCAGTTCTCCATTTGGAAATTACAATAATCAAACGTGGCAAAAATACTACTGAGAAGTTAATACGAATTGCTAGTGGACCAACACTTTTCTCACCATCTGGCTGTGATTTCAGATGGTTTCTGATTCAATGGGGAAAACTTTCTGTTCTCAAGTTACATAGAAGATGAAATGATTCCCAAACCCAGGAAATTGGCTGGTGCGAATGACCAGTCCCCAAAGCCTTTCAGAACTTTCTCCCTCTTTCCTTTTCTCTTTTTGTTCTCTCTCTGTGTCTGTCTTTCACTCTTTCCTTTGATTTGTCCTTTATCCCTATCAAACATTCCTCTATATTCAGTTGTTAATAGTCATATAAAACACATACATATTCATAGACATTTGATACACTCGTGTCTAACTGTGATATACAAATATACTAAATCTATCTACATACACAAATTTATAAAATATTTTTATAGGTCTACAGGGCATATTGGACAAAATTAAATATCTAAACAGTACAGAAATTATTAGTAAATATGATAGAAAAATGTTGATATAGTATATTTTTGTGCCAAATATTTGAACAATTCTCTGAATAATGCTCAGTGGATTCAGCAACATTTTTCCTGCTTTTGTTTCTTCTTACCAAGCTCATAGTGATTCAGAAGGAGAAACGTAGCAAATGACAAAAACATAAACATTATGAAATTCATAGATATGATTTCTTCAGCAAAAAACCCCCACATCTCACAGAATTGCTCATTTGGGCCATATTTAAAGGGTTCTCCTAAATATATCCTGTGCATTACATGTTGTAATTCTAACATTATCAACACCACAGTCTTGCCTCCTCTGCTAAAAATAATTCTGCGATTGTAGTTTTAATTCAGTGTGACTTGGGCTTACCTGAGGAAGGGATGCCAAGGACGATGAGAACCAGCATAAAATCTGTGAGCATCATGATGTCAGTTTCAGAAAGACAAGTTCTTCCTTTTTAACAACAGAGCATTTCCATTGGAAAAAAGGGGGTTTTGAAAAGAAAATACAGGGGTTCCAAATCCAAAGTGGAACCCAAGAGGACAGCAACTCCTGGAGTGGAATAAAACAGTCTCAACCCCTCTCGCCGAGTGTGCTGCTCCTCAAAGTGCACTTCATTGATTTGCAGTCAGCTGTCAGATCGTGTAAGTCTAAAACATATCTCTGGGTCCTAACTCCTGACTTATTAATTTGCTCCCTTGCAAGAAATGCAGGGCACTGGAGGAAGGATGAAGCTAGACAACTTCTGAATGTTCTGCACTGTTTTTCTTACAGTTGGAGATCTGCATACAGGAGAAGCGCACTTTACCACGTCCATCCTGGAAGTTAGTGAAAAGTTTCTCATTCCCATTATTTCTCTATTTTCTTTTCTTTTCTTCTTCTTCTTCTTCTTTTTTTTTTTTTCTGAAACAAAATCTTACTCTGTTACCCAGGCTGGAGTGCAGTGGCACATTCTCGGCTCGCTACAACCTCCACCTCCCAGGTTCAAGCAGTTCTCCTGCCTCAGTCTCCCTAGTAGCTGGGATTACAGGCACCTGCCATCATGTCTGGCTAATTTTTGTAGAGATGGAGCTTCACCTTGTTGACCAGGCTGGTTTTGAACTCCTCACCTCAGGTGATCCATCCACCTCGGCTTCCCAAAGTGCTGGAATTACAGGCGTGAGCCACCATGCCCTGCCTCTCTATTCTCTTTTTAGGTTGGCCCTGAGAGTCATGAGTATGTCCTGGAGCCTCCCTTCTCTGGTGGCTCCCACATGTGTTAATATCAGCACATTCTCGGTGGCTCCCTTCACCCCACCAGGTCCACCTTCTGGTCGCTACAGGGGACAGTACAGTGGGAGGTTAGTGGTGTTTTATGTATGAGACTTGGACACTGAAAACGCCATCTTGTCTTCTTTACAGTTGGTCAGATTTCATCTAGTTCAGTGTTGTGCACACCCAGAGGGCCCTTGATAAATGCGTAATAACCCAATGAAGGGCAAGCACAAAGTCAGGGCTAGACAGACAAGAGGGCAGGGTGGGAGCAACACCTACCTGGATGGGAACTCAGTGCTGAGGAATCCACTCCAGGGCATGGAGGAATTCTCTTAGTCCAGTTTTTTTTTTTTTTTTTTTTTTTTTTTGAGACAGAGTCTCACTCGGTCACCCAGGCTGGAGTGCAGTGGCATAATCTTGGCTCACTGCAACCTCCACATCCTGAGTTCAAGCAATTCTCCCACCTCAGCCTCCCGAGTAGCTGGGATTACAGGTGTCTGCCACCACGTCCAGCTAATTGTTTTGTATTTTCGTAGAGAGGGGGGTTTCACTGTGTTGCCCAGGCTGGTCTCGAACTCCTGACCTCATGATCTGCCTGCTTTGGCCTCCCAAAGTGCTGGCATTTCAGGCATGAGCCACCAAGCCTGGCTGATTTCGTGCAATTTTTAAATTTCTTAATTTAACCCCCTGTGTGTGCCCATTAGCACGTTTGAGACACCCAGAGGGTGCTGGGTAAGGAGCCATTGCATCCTGAGGTCTGGCCAGGACCCAGAGCCCTGAGCTCTGGAGCCCTCTATCTGCTCCTCAGGACTCCTGTCTCAGAGACCCTCACATCGTGATGTTGTGGCCCTGCCTGGCCTCCCTTCCTAGACCACCAGCTCCTGGGAGAGGTAGAGTTTGGTCTCCAGACCTGCGTCTCTTAGTGTCCAGGGTGTGTCACCCGCAAATGCTTGAGAACGTTGCAGGAACGCAGGGAGGAAGGAAGGAGCCAGGCTCTGATTTCCCATCCCTCTGAATTGTGCTCCGGGCCTGCTGAGAATTTATAATGGCCTCAGCAGTGAATCAGCTACCCCCAATCCAGGTGTGCAGAAAGTTTCACCTTTATTTTCAAGAAATCAAATCAAATAAAGGTAGCCTTCCATGGAACTGGCTGGAAATCCAGTCTCAGTCATCGCAGGCCCTCCAGCCCTTTCCCTTTGGGAGCAACTGAATCTGGAAGGCCTTTGTGGTCCCCAAAATATGGCACAGTCCTGTATCCTCCAGGCTGCCTTGACCATAGCCGGGGTCCATGCTCGGCCCACACGGTCCCCCGGAGCCAGCAGCTCGGTTACTCTTCGTCTTCTCCGATGCCCAGGATTCTGTCAAAACTGGAGGCCTTGGTAATTGGACCCCCGCCTCCCTGAGCCGCACACAACCCCAGCCTGCTGAGGACTGCACCCCTCAAGTGCGACCCCGAGAGGGACACGGTCCTGCTGCTGCTGGAAGGACCCGCCAGCCCCTTCCTCTGCCTTGGGAGGCTCCTTTCTGTCTCCCTTCACAGCCACCTTTCTCCCTGAAAAGACACTCAGCTCTTCTCCATCCCACGGTAGAAACCTCAAAGCATCTCTCCACTGAGTTTAGACTATGGGGGGAAAGCAGACATTAAACAGACACAGGAAGCCTATCTCACTCTTTTTGAGATGGAGTTTCGCTCCTGTTGCCTAGGCTGGAGTGCAATGGTGAAATCTCGTCTCACTGCAACCTGTGCCTCCCGGGTTCAAGTGATTCTCCTGCCTCAGCCTCCTGAGTAGCTGGGATTACAGGTGGCCACCACATACAGCTAATTTTTGTATTTTTAGTAGAAATGGGGTTTCACCATGTTGGCCAGGCTGGTCTTGAACTCCTGGCCTCCAGTGATCCACCTGCCTTAGCCTCCCAAAGATCTGGGATTACAGACGTGAGCCACTGTGCGGGCCCGGCCAGGGTGCCTCTTTCTTTTTTCTTTCTTTCTTTCCCTTCCTTCCTTCCCTCCTTCCTTTTATTCCTTCCTTCCTTCTTTCTCTCTCTTTTTCTTTCTTTCTTTCTTCTTTCTCTTTCTTTCTTTCTTTCTTTCTTTCTTTCTTTCTTCTTTCTTTCTTTCTTTCTTTCGACAGAGTGTCACTCTTGTCACCCAGGCTGGAGTGCAATGGTGCGATCTCAGCTCACAGCGACCTCCGCCTCCTGGGTTTAAGCGATTCTCCCGAGTAGCTGGGATTACAGACATGCACCGCCATGCCCAGCTAATTTTGTATTTTTTGGTAGAGACAGGGTTTCTGCATGTTGGTCAGCCTGGTCTTCAACTCCTGACCTCAGGTGATCTGCCCAAATCAGCCTCCCAAAGTGCGGGATTACAGGTGTGAGCCACTATGCCTGGCCAGATGTACTTTCAATTGAAGATATAAATTCTGACTGGCATTTAGTAATCATGAAAGCAGTGTAATCCTAATACTACTTTTCAAGACCACTTATAATCCATTGTTCTAATCCAGTCACCATCAATGTTTGGTTTACTTCCTTCCAGTGTGTATGCACACGCACATACACAAACATGCACGATGGCACTGTGCTCACCCAGATGACATATGAGTTAACACCCTTCAACTGAGCTGTTACTTTTATAATAGAAAACTCAACATCAGTTGGCCAGGTGTGGTGGCTCACCCCTGTAATCCCAGCACTTTGGGAGGCCGGGGCAGGTGGATTACCTGAGGTCAGGAGTTTGAGACCAGCCTGACTAACATGGAGAAACCCCGTCTCTACTAAAAATACAAAAACCAGCCAGGTGTGGTGACACATGCCTGTAATCCCAGCTACTCAGGAGGCTGAGGCAGGAAAATCGCTTGAACCTGGGAGGTGGAGGTTGTGGTGAGCTGAGATCACACCACTGCACTCTAGCCTGGGCAACAAGAGCAAAACTCCATCTCAAAGAAAAACCCCAAAAACAAAACAAACAAACAAAAAAACAAGCCGCAACACCATTAAAAAGGTTATTAAGGCTAAAAAGATGAAAGATTTTATAAAGAAAAGGACATTTTAGTACTGATGAGAAAAGGAGAAACTTTGAGAAATTATTTCATGACCTCTAAGGGGACAAAAAGGAGCAGTTGTGGCTGGTTCTGTAGTACATATAAGTGGATTCAGAGCTCACTGAGCAACTGTAAACAAGGATGTGGATTAACACGTGGAAGTCGGGTGTGTGAAGTGGTAGGATGTGGGAACACGACACCGAAGAAGAAAAGGATGAGAATGGATTTTTGGAAGAGAATTTTCAAAAATTTAAAAGTTAGAATCCATTTTTTTACTGAACTCATAGAAAAATAATCAATGTATGACTTTTGCTCACCCAAAGAATATAAAAAGAAGAAAACAGGAGACAATCTAAGATGGCCGAATAAGAACAGCTCTGGATTGCAGTTCCCAGTGAAAGTGCAAAGGGTGAGTGATCACTGCATTTCCAAACCAATTTTTACTGCCCATAGACCAGGAGATTTCTGGGCAGAAAAGCACCACGAGTCTCCAGCACGGCCGTTTCAGTCAGCGCAGTGGGTTCTGCACAAAAACTCACACAAATCTGGGCGCCATTTCAACTGGTGCCTGGAAGGCCTGGGAGACAGAGTAGCCCATTCAACTGTAAAAAAGGGGACTGAAACCAGGAGCCAGGTGATCTGGCTTGGCAGGTCCCACCCCCACAAAGACCAGCAATCTGAAACGCTCTGGACTGAGAGTTTCACAGCAAGCACAGCTGGACCTGGGATGGTCCAGCCCTGTGGGGGGAAAGGCATCCGCCATTACCAAGGCAGTCTGTCATTACCAAGGCAGTCCACCATTACAGAGACAGTCTGCCATTACTGAGGCCGACCGCCATTACTGAGGCAGTTCTAACTATACCTCTATAAACAAAACTTCAAGGAAGTTCACACAGCAGCTGGGCAGAGCTTACGGCAGCTCAGCAATGCCTCTGCTGGCAGACTGTGACTAGGCTACCTCCTTGCTGGGCAGGGCATCTCTGAAAAAGGCAGCAGCACATCAAGAATTTATAAATAAAGCCTCACCTTCCTGGGACAGAGCATCTGGGGAAAAAAGGCAGTTATGAGTTCCACTGCAGCAAACTTAATGTACCTGCCCAGCAGCTCTGAATGGAACAATAGAGCTCACAGCTTAGAACCTGAGCTCCTATAAGGGACAGACTATCTCCTCAAGTAGCTCCCCAAGCCCCATGTATCCAAAGAGACACTTCATAAAGGATTGCTCAGGCTGACATCTGGCGGGTATCCTGGGATGAAGATAGAAGAAAAAAACCG